TGGGCACACCTGGGCACACCTGGGCACACCTGGGCACGGCCGGGAGGGGCGGGGAGAAAAAAACCCGGTGGAAATGGGGTGAAAAATGGGGATTTTGGGGGGTTTTGGGTGAGGGATGTTTTGTGCTGTTCCCTGCTGGCGGCCATTTTGTCTGCCCCGCTGGTGGCGGCCATCTTGTGGGCCCTGCTGGGGGCGGCCATCTTGCCATCCCCTGTAGGCGGCCATGTTGGTTGACCCACTCATGGCAGCCATGTTGGCCAAACCACTGATGGCAGCCATCTTGCCTTTCCCCATAAGCAGCCATCTTGCCTGACCCACTGACGGCAGCCATCTTGCCTGCCTTGCTTATGGCAGCCATATTGCCCAGCCCCACGGATGGCGGCCATCTTGCCCCCTCCGCCTGCTGATGGTGGCCATCTTGCCTGCCCCACTCACTGCAGCCATATTGCCTAACCCACTTATGGCGGCCATCTTGCCCGACTCACTTATGGCAGCCATATTGCCTGACCCACTGATGGCACCCATATTGCCTAGCCCCACTGACGGCAGCCATATTGCCTGACCCACTTATGGCAGCCATATTGCCTGACACACTTATGGCAGCCATATTGCCTAGCCCCACTGACGGCAGCCATATTGCCTGACTCACTTATGGCAGCCATATTGCCTGACACACTTATGGCAGCCATATTGCCTGACTCACTTATGGCACCCATATTGCCTGACCCACTTATGGCAGCCATATTGCCTGACCCACTTATGGCAGCCATATTGCCTGACCCACTTATGGCAGCCATATTGCCTGACTCACTTATGGCAGCCATATTGCCTGACCCACTTATGGCAGCCATATTGCCTGACCCACTTATGGCAGCCATATTGCCTGACACACTTATGGCAGCCATATTGCCTGACTCACTTATGGCACCCATATTGCCGGACACACTTATGGCAGCCATATTGCCTAGCCCCACTGACGGCAGCCATATTGCCTAGCCCCACTGATGGCGGCCATCTTGCCCAGCTCACTTACTGCAGCCATCTTGCCTAGCCCCACTGATGGCAGCCATATTGCCCGACTCACGGCAGCCATATTGCCCAGCCCCACTGACGGCAGCCATCTTGCCCACTCCGCCCGCTGATGGCGGCCATCTTGCGGGCCCCACCGCCGGCAGCCATCTTGCGGGCCCCGCCCCGCTGACGGCGGCCATCTCGCGTCCCCCGGCGGCAGGAGGAGGAGGCGCTGCTGTCGGAGATGGACGTGACGGGCCAGGCCTTCGAGGACATGCAGGAGCAGAACCTGCGGCTGCTGCAGCAGCTGCGCGAGAAGGACGACGCCAACTTCAAGCTGATGTCGGAGCGCATCAAAGCCAACCAGATCCACAAGCTGCTGCGCGAGGAGAAGGACGAGCTGGCCGAGCAGGTGCTGGCCCTCAAGGCCCAGGTGAGAGCCCCCAGAGTCGTCAATTAGCCGTTAATTGGTGATTAATTAATTATTAATAGGGATTAATAGCCATTTATTGGCTATTAATAGGGATTAATAGCCATTTATTGGTTATTAATAGGGATTAATAGCCGTTTATTAGGTATTAATAGGGTTTATTAGCAATTTATTGATTATTAATAAGGTTTATTAGGCATTTATTAGTCGTTAATAGCGTTTTTAGCTATTTATTAGTTATTAATAGGGTTTACTTGTTAATAAGAGGGTTTATTAGCCATTTATTAGTTATTAGTAGGGTTTATTAGACATGTATTAGTTATTAATAGGGTTTATTAGTTATTAATAGGGTTTATTAGTTATTAATAGGGTTTACTAGTCACTTATTAGTTATTAATAGAAGCTATTAGCCATTAATAGGGTTTATTAGCCATTTACTAGTTATTGATAAGGATTAATGGCCATTTATTAGTTATTAATGGGGCTTATTAGCCATTTATTAGTTATTAATAGGGTTTATTAGCCATTTGTTAGTTATTAATAGGGATTAGTGAATGGCCGAGCAGGTGCTGCCCTCAAGGCCCAGGTGAGAGCCTGGAAATTCATTAATTAGGCGTTAATTAGTGATTAATTATTAATAGGCATTAATAGCATCTTATTAGTTATTAAACACATTTAATGACTGGCTATTAATGAGCAAATTTTGCTAATTAACGATTAATTAACGGCCCGGGCAGGTGGAGGCGCAGCTGCAAGTGGTGCAGAAGCTGGAGGAGGACGATCAGACACTAATTACGGCTAATAATTGGCTAATAATCCCATAATTTCGCCTATAACCGCCGTTATTTTGGCTATTAATGAGCCGATTTGGCTAATTAGCGCTAATTAGCGATTAATTAATCACTCGTTCAGGTGGAGGCACAGCTGCAGGTGGTGCAGAAGCTCAAATAGGATTATTTGGACTTCATTAGCTCTAATAATTGGCTAATAATCCCTTAATTTTGCCTATAACCGCCGTTATTTTGGCTATTAACGAGCCGATTTCACTAATTAGCGCTAATTAGCGATTAATTAATAACCCGGGCAGGTGGAGGCGCAGCTGCAGGTGGTGCAGGAGCCCAAATAGGATAATTCGGACTTCATTAGCTCTAATAATTGGCTAATAATCTGCTAATTTCGCCTATAACAGCTGTTATTTTGGCCATTAACGAACCGATTTGGCTAATTAGCGCTTATTAGCGATTAATTAGTGACCTGGGCAGGTGGAGACACAGCTGCAGGTGGTGCAGAAGCTGGAGGAGAGCGATCAGACACTAATAATCGCTAATAATTGGCTAATAATCCACTAATTTTGCCTAGAAACGCCGTTTTTTTGGCTATTAACAGGCTGATTTCACTAATGAGCGATAACTAACAATTAATTAATTACTTATTCAAGTAGAGGTGCAGCTGCAGGTAGTACAGAAGCTGGAGGAGAGCGATCAGACACTAATAATTGCTAATAATTGGCTAATAATCCACTAATTTTGCCTAGAAACGCCGTTTTTTTGGCTATTACCAGGCCGATTTCGCTAATGAGCGCTAATTAACAATTAATTAATGACCCGGGCAGGTGGAGGCGCAGCTGCAGGTGGTGCAGAAGCTGGAGGAGAAGGAGCGGGGGCTGCAGAGCGCCCTGGCGGCCGTGGAGAAGGAGCTGAGCCTGCGCTCGCAGGCGCTGGAGCTGCACAAGAGGAAGGTGAGGCCAAATCTGTCCAAAATCTGCCCAAAATGGGCCCGAAATGTGACCAAAATCTGCCCAAAATGGGCCCGAAATGGGCCCGAAATGGGCCCGAAATGGGCCCGAAATGTGACCAAAATGTGACCAAAATGAGACCAAAATGGGCCTGAAATGTGACCAAAATGGGCCCAAAATCTGCCCAAAATGAGCCCAAAATGTGACCAAAATGGGCCCGAAATGAGCCCGAAATGTGACCAAAATGGGCCCAAAATGTGCCCAAAATTGGCCCAAAATGAGCCCAAAATGGGCACAAAATGTGCACAAAATGAGCCCAAAATTGGCCCAAAATGAGCCCGAAATGTGACCAAAATGGGCCCGAAATAAGCCCGAAATGTGACCAAAATGGGCCCGAAATGTGACCAAAATGGGCCCAAAATCTGCCCAAAATGGGTCCGAAATGTGACCAAAATGTGACCAAAATGAGCCCAAAATGGGCCCAAAATCTGCCCAAAATGAGCCCAAAATGTGCCCAAAATCTGCCCAAAATGAGACAAAAATTAGCCCAAAATGAGCCTAAAATGGGCACAAAATGGGCCCAAAATCTGCCAAAAATGAGCCCAAAATGAGCCCAAAATTGGCCCAAAATGAGCCCAAAATGGGCACAAAATGTGCACAAAATGAGCCCGAAATGTGACCAAAATGAGCCCAAAATGTGCCCAAAATCTGCCCAAAATGAGCCCAAAATGTGACCAAAATGGGCCCAAAATCTGCCCAAAATGAGCCCAAAATGTGACCAAAATAAGCCCAAAATGGGCCCGAAATTGGCCCAAAATGAGCCCAAAATGTGACCAAAATGGGCCCAAAACCTGCCCAAAATTGAGCCCAAAATTGGCCCCAAATGAGCCCAAAATGGGCACAAAATGTGCACAAAATGAGCCAAAAATGGGGCAAAATGGGCCCAAAATGTGCCCAGGTGTCAGTCAGGTACCCCCAGGTGTGCCCAGGAGTATCTCAGGTGTGCCCAGGTGTGCCCCCAGATGTGCCCCAGGTGTGTCCCAATGGATCTCAGGTGTG